GGGTTTATAAACCCCGTATTTGGACTTATTGGATATACGAAACCACACCAAGCACTATAGTATTATTCAAAGGGATACTGTAATTTCTTTCCATTGAATGGCCACCCTGGGTATTTTGTGGCATGAGAATAGCTGTGGGTTGACTAGGGCAGTACCACCAAATGGGCTCAATTGGGGTAAGAAATAGAAATGTTTAATGGATTAAATGGAAAAAAATATGTTTTATGACTTAAAGTCTTTTAAATTCCTTCATAGTCTGTTTTTTTTTTTCCTAAGGGCAGAATTTTTTGCTCTGTCCATTCTGAAGAGTATATGGAGGTCACATATTATTCGGTCCTTTTGATTAGAGCAATGTCTTAGCCCAGGAGAGACTTTAATTTTAGTTAAGGTTCTGGCAGGAATATTTATATGATACTCTTCAACTCATGAGGGGAAATCCGGAGTTAGGTTCACTAGTTCTTGCCCATAGTGCTCTCTGCTGTTGGCAGAGGGGATATGAATGAGAATTAGCTCCTGAGTGTTTCCTTGGAATCTATACTCTGTAGGATAGCATGGATTGTTTCTATATTGGATGAATAAAAGAACTTCTATGCTGAGTTTATGAGTTATGTGGTCTTGATATAATAATAAATGTAAAAATTCTAAAACTTCTAAAAAAGATACAGAATGTTTCCACTAGTTTAAATCAAATCAGTAATAGGGCTGGAGTCTTGTATATTGCAAAGCTTTAGTAGGAAAGACCATCCACCATGTAATAATCCTTGATTTTAAAAATGAGGAACTGTCCTCTAGATATTGTTGAATGTTAGCTGACATTTTCTCTTACTGTGGAATATTGCTAAATAGAGCGCTTTGAAATTTCATTCTACACGTGTCCCACACAGGTCTTGACTGCTCTCCAACACCCTCCAACCACACCACCAAGCATGTTTTAGGTTAAATTTAAAAATCGGGAATAGGAACAGTGTCTTTCCAGAAGCTCCCAATTCCCATTCCTATTCTAACCATCCTCAAATCAGAAGAGTATTGAAAACATTATTATCCTTACCAGGGATGCTGTAACATTGCTGATTCACTTTCAGCTGCTGCTCCTACTTCACTTGGGCATGTGAAGTAATTTTGGGATTGAGGCATGCAAAACCTGCACTTCTGTTTACAACCACTTGCCATTTAGCAATTACCTTAGTTACCAACCATTTAAAAATTGTTAGCCCTGTGAAGTAGTCCAGACAAGAAGCAAAACCAGGAGTTCTACCCTGTCTTCATTGTAAGTTTACATTAGCAAAATCTTCCAAGACTGAAAGTATTTCTCCACGCCTTTCCTTTTGCTGTCTGGAAAACTAGGGAGGGCCCTTGTGAAATGCTTTCCTTGCCAGCCTTTCTTCTGTGTGGTACACATTTTATATGCTAGTTGTCCAATTGGTTGTAATGATGATTTAATATCCTTTAACAATCTGCAATTGTACTTGTCTTTCTAGTAATCCTGGTATTCTCTGCAGAATACATAAATGAAGCAGCTGCTGCAAACTGGAGGTAGTTATATTATTTTACTGTGTGTGTTTGTGTATACATATATACATACATACATACATGCATACCATGTATTTATGACTGCTGCAGTAGCCCAGGGTTATGTGATCACTTTTTACAACCTCCCGACAAGCAAAATTAATCAGGAAGCCAGATTCACTTAACCATGTTACTAATTTAACAATTGCAGTGATTCACTTAACAACTGTGGCAAGAAAACTCATAAAATGCCACAGAACTCACTTAACAACTCTTTTGCTTAGCAACAAAAAATTTTGACCTCAATTATGGTTATAAGTCGAGGACTAAATGTATATGTTTTCCAAGTATAATTGGATTGCAACTCCCATCTTCTATTACCATTGGCCATTTTACCAAGGATTGATAGGAAATTGAACTTGGCAACAGTGTGTTATATTCCACCCACCTCTGGCAGAAATGATTCAGTTCCTTTAAATGCCGCATGCCAAATGCCCTAAAAATAGGGAGACCGGAGCATGTGCCTAATTTTCAGTGAGATTTCAGTGTGCTTCACATTAAACCTTTTTTGTTCAACCGTATAATCTGTAAACTTTCCCTTTCGAGTAAATGTTTTCATGCTGGGAAACATCAGTGTCTTCCATATAGCATGTGTGGATTTGGGGTGGTTTTTTTTAAAAAAAATCTTTAAAACAAAAGAAAATCTATGACTTGGCAAGAAGAAGCTGAAAAATTATAGGTTTTTCCCATTGGACGTTGAGAAAGTTTGCCATACTAAATAGATTTGAATTTCCTTTGGAATTCATAAAATAGATTAAGATATTATATGAATCAGCCACATCTAAAGAGAATGAGAATTTTTCTCCTACTTTTCCACTGTTTAGAGAAAAAAAAGACAGTGTCCACTTTCACCCATGTTTTTTACTACCTGTGTGGAATCCTTGACTTGTGTTTTTAAACAACTTGAAAAGATCCATGGAGTAGTACATAAATCAGTTGAACACAAATTGGTTTATTTGCAGATAAGATTTTACTTCTAAATTTTATAATACTAGTCCACAGTTGAGGCAAAAAATCGGTGCTTTTAATAGAAAAGCAGCATTGTTCAAGTTGGAACTGATGCCTGATTGAAATTTGGTTACCCATCAGTTTAAAAAGTCATCAATTATTTATATTTGTACTGAATCTATTAACTATTTAGGTATGTCTACGCTAAAAAAAAAATCTCAGCAACATTTAAAATAAGTAAAATATGGAGAGGAGTTTCTTCAGGTATTAATAAATGAGAGTCATCCTGGTTCCCTTTGGGGAAAGGCATACACTCTCAAATATTGTTCCCAGATTAATTTATATTGTGAAAGGAATCCCAGTTTATATATCTACAAAATAGTTCAGAAAATACTCTCTTTGCTTAGAAAATTTCTATGGGATTCTTCAGTTGGGACAATGTCTTTACAGAAAATTTCAATTACCAGTTAACGAGTGAGGATTCAGTTTCCTGAATCTGGAGCCTATTGTCAGATATTAAATATTGGAAGCCAACAATTGGTGTTAATTGGAAAAATAAATGTATGATCCCTTTCACTTAATGGATTAAGGACTTGATTGTACTTGCCACTTACCAGTAGTTTGCCTATACATATAACTTTATATGGACAAATATAATGAAATAGACCAATTTATACAGTATGCCAAAACATAGTTATAAAAATGCATTAAAATATTCATGCAGCTGAATAATAATCACACTAGACATCATTACTACTGCTAAATTGATATACTTTTTCTTTTGTTGTTTTTTCCCCACTTTTTAAAAAAAGTTTTTTTTTTTCATTTTTGTATTTTTAACTTTGCATTAGGGTTTTTTCCTGGGTTGTTCTTTTAATCTATACTGTAAACGCCATAAAACAATATATGTTTAACAAGGTAGGTTTTCCTTCCTTTCCAGCTGCTACCTTGTGCCCAACATTTGTATAATTGGGCTTCCTGAAACGAATAATCCTAAACTCAACAGCAGGAGCAGCACTGAAAACATGATTCTAAGATTGCATTTATTTGAACACTCTGCCATCTTAAATCAAGCCAAGTGCTCAGGGGTAGCCAGCAAAATAAACAAGTTTTCAAACTTTTTGTATTTTAAAGTGCAGGAGTGTAGCCTTATCTCTTAAAAGTTGTTTTCATTTGGAATGCAGCCTTTAGTCTGCCTGTGTTCACTGTTGTCTTTTATGGAGTTGCTTTTCACCAAGGATGCTTATTTTAATTTTTTGCTCCTTTACAGATTCTTCTCAAAGCACCAGTACTTTGATTCTCAAGGAATGTTTATTTCATTAGTGTTTTCAGTACCATTACTCCTAAACGCCATCCTCATAGTGGTAAGCTTTCTTTCAAAATGTTGATATCAAGTCAAAATGCAAAAGGAACCAGAAAAAGATTGTTTTATTATAGAACATTCCTATTTATGATGTCTGGTAATACTTTCATAATGTTTGATGCTCAGGCATTTATTAGTAGCTATTATAATGTAAATAACATCACTTTAGTGACATCTTGACACACGTGTGACATCAATTACTCAACTTGGTAACCCTTTTGAACCACTAAAGCATGTTAGTAATGGAAACCAGCAATACCCATCCTTTCAAAGAACATTAAATTTATTTGCATGCGAGAAGTTTCACTGGAAAACCTAAGAAGAATCAGGAATTCACCCCTCTTGTAGAGGCTTATACGAATTAAAATATCTCTCTAATCTGTAAAATCCTAAGTAGTGAGGTGATTGAGGTAGATAGAACTAGAAAGTGGGGTGGTTTTTTTTGAGGAAACAAAGGCCGTGTGACAGGATGATTTTGCTGTTTATTCACTACCATTTTCGTAACATTCTGTATTTTTAATGAGGTTTTGTTCTCATTTGGAAAAATTGACAGTACTTCAAATATTGGGCTTTACCAAGCTTGATAGCATCTTCTCTTAATGTCTGGAGATTTGGATTGCATAAAGAGAGGCCCCCAGAGAAATGAGAACACAATTAGGAATTGAATTTCACATGTCATAATTTGTTTTTGCTTTTCAGATTGCTTGGGTCTATAAAACAGTGAAAGTAATGACGGAACTAAAGACAATACAGCAGAAAAGGAAAGCAAGGAGAGAAAATAAGAAAAGTCAATAAATAAGTCTATCTTTTGTAACTGGTTATGTTACCAACTATTCTGTCACCCATATTAACTTGAGGTTGGAAGTTAGGGATTTTTACATTCCTTTATAAATGGTCTTATGTTCTCACAGTTCTATGAAAAAAAATCATGTTCATTTTGAGCCCATTGTTAGAGCAATTCTTATATGGCATTTTGCTATATAGACTACTATTTCATTCTGAACCAGTCATAAGGCATCTCATACGTTTATTAGAATTTCTCTAACGTGCTGTTTTATCATAGCTCAATACAGGGGTTGTTCATGGTTTTATGATGATGTGCATCAAATATGCCAAAATGAACAAGTAAATTTTAATAAGTACCAGTTCATAAAACTGGTTAGCTACATAATTGCCACTCACGATTAATTTCCATTTAGGAATTATCATAGCATATAACAAATAGTTTATACATTTTCA